CGGGATCATCAGACTGTCTACATTTGTCTACTTATTTGGCGAGAAACCGTGTCTAATAAGACACATTCCGTTGATCACATTATAGAATGCCAACTTCTCTGACACAGGGAAAACAAGAAAGATCCAAAGTTAAAATGACGATTTCTTTATTGTGAGAATAATTACGTTATATTGTGCGACAATGATTGTTGCCTGGTTGGCCAATAATTGTTGGGATAAGTTCATCACAGGAAACATTAATCAATAATCCAGTGCTCAGGGGAGGAAATTTATACGTTTCTTTAAAAAATAGTTAAATAGACGTTCCAACAGAACTTTTACGTTAGGATTAATGCCATACCTCAGCTTGCCAATCATTGGAAGACATGTTCTCATGCGAAAATCAGTGCAACCATCATCCTTCATGAAAAATTCTGCTTCCATTGACGTCCCAGTTGGATGCTTCCCGATCATTTAATTGCATCGAATGATTCTATAATGTTTTTATAGGGTTTTTACCCACTGTTCCCCGTTTCTGGCACACATCAAATCAACTCTCTTTTATTCATCGCTAACATCTCTACTTTTTTCGTCCTCCGCCTCTATCTCTCTGTTAAATCTCATTAGTGCACTATCGTGACACAATCCATTGTCTCCTTTTTAGACTCGTCATGACTTGATGCATAGTAACTCTAAGTAGCCAATGAAAAGTAGTTTAGCAGGCCAAGTTGCGTTTAGATATTTTATGCTTAAGTTAATCAACCTGGATCATTCTTACTTTTTATTAGTATTTTGCTTTAAAATTATAAACGAAGAAGAATAGGATTTATTCTTAAATGTGATGCACTAACAAGAATTTTGAAATCAATAGTAAGCTTATTGCCTTGTCCATGGATCAGCATCTACGTCATCAACATTTGAATTGGCCTTCAAAACATCTTTTAGCGACAAGGTATTCCTTTGTTTACTTTGCCAATTTCGACGACTGCACCTCAAGTGCTGGGTCAATTCCAGTGCAGCAACTAATAGAGCAAGAAATAGGCCCCCTGTGAGAATGTGGAACACACCAGCGACATTGATCAAAGCCAGGGCATTTGCAGCCGATCTGTCAGCGTCTGCGGCTACATTGCACTGTCCTCTTTCAATCCACCATTTCTTCCGAAGGTTGGCTATAACTTGGGCCTCACGCAATCGTAGAACGGCATCACTCAATACCTCGCGCATTGGTGAGTGTCTTGGTAGGGCAATTCCATAGCCATAATTCCCGAATGCGCCACCAACCATCATTGTATCACAGGGCTCACGATTGTTGTGGTACTCGTTCATCACAGACTCCAAAACAAAGGCATATTTACCCTAAAGGAAAATGTTATCGTTCTCACTTAAATTATCTTTGAGGACCTACATTTTATTTCCATTTAAATATTTGAAACACTCAACAAAGCAGCATTGACGTAGTGAATTTAATTGGACTCAGTTCCTTTGTGGTTTATTCTATTTACTCCATAACCCCCTGCCCCATCATCCATCATGACACCCCTTGTCATGTTTTGTTGGCGATATTCATTTGCTGTCCTATTATTTACTTGTTTAAGTGTCATTCAAAAGCGGCCACACAGGGAGTACATTCCACTACCCGTATGAATAAGTACAAGAAAATGAAGAAACGTCACCAATATTCTTGCTTATGAATCCCCTCTTCCACCCATTCTTACTGGCGGGTCAATTACAGCGCGTTATTCCATTATTTTAAGTACTCTGTCAACTATTAAATTAACTGATGCTCAAGTCTGCAAGTACTGGGTTACCCCTGTATTACTGTCGGCAAAGCTGGTGACAAGGTGAAATTCTAAGTACCCTTATCTACCATCCAATTCTTGAACTGAATTCAACAACTCCATCCTGGTATTTTCTGAAGCTCATCCTGCATTAAGCAATTGGGCACAAAATGATTACTTTCAAGTGCTTTTGAGTCTCAATTGATTTTTGAGAGTGGTATCAATGATCTTTCAGCTGAGAGGTACGAAGAGGAAGAACTTTTCATTGACCAGACTTCACTGCACATCGTGCTACGCTAATGACTACAAGCTTAAATTCAAAAATATAAATTTCACTTGATACACTTACTCAGACCACCCCTCCAAAAGTAAGCTGTCCAACGCGAAGCAAATTTTTTTGAGAATTAAGCATACTTCACACTTTTGAGTTGATACGAAAAGAGCTCCTGGAACTCTCACATTAAGACTTCTTCGGTCACCGTGTCAAAGCCAGACTCAAATTCTGCCGGCACAGAATCCCCACGAAAATCGTGAAGTGCAGGAAATAATGTCATTTTTCACAGACATAGTGAGTCGTGACGACTTCTAGCACCTCAAATCCATCTCAAGACAAGTGTGTTTAATATGCATTACTTATCAAAAAAGTGCTTTTTCTTCAAAGTTAGTGGACAACCGCACTAGCTTTACCTAACTATTTAAAATAATGTCAAGATACCAGCTTTCCAAAATGGATGGCACCGCGGCTTGTAGGATAGGCGTTGAAAACCACTTGCCAAATTGCCAAGATATTAGTTCCAAATGCGTATTAAGTAGAATACGGGCAAATCTACGAGGCACTCTACATGAAAATCAATATTTTTGGAAACAATACATGAGCGACAAATTTTAAACTTCAGAGTCCAAATTATTATTAATTTACCTGAATTTACAGCACTTTATCTAGCATGCCGCTTACCTGAATAGTTAAATGGATAGAAGTTGGATAAATATGTGGACAGTTGAAAATAGACCTCTGGTGCCAATTTCATTGTTTTAATTTTGTGAATCTCGCGCCTCTGCTATATCAAAAACTTAAGTTGCTGAATACCACGGCTTCTCATTCAGCAGAGAAAACAATTAATTGTTGTGTAAGATTGTCTCCTAGTAATTAACAATGGGCAAATTAGTAGCTTAAATCCATCGTCAAGAGCTAGAGGTAATCCAACAAACTAATTACGTGAGGCGCCTTTTTGGCTTACTTTGAGCAAATCTGAATCATATTTCAGATGAAATAAAAATCTTTGTCATCTTGAAGATGCTTTCAGTATTTTGCAGCCCCAATTTCCACCCTCTCTCCTCCACTACCTTCCTTCGCCCCTATTTATTTCTTATTAGACATTTCAGTTGCTTCAATATCGATTTTAAATAGACGAATTTCCCATTTAATATGAGTGTTCTTATCAGTGAATCTTTGGAACTGATCTCAAACCTAAAGAAGCCCTTACAATTACTTGAAGATATAAGGTTCTTCAAGACTAAGAACCGCGTCGATAGCCATTATCCCGAAATATGAATTATTTTAATTTCACCATACGCTACTATTCCTTGTCAAAATCACCTTTTTGAAACTTGGAGAAGAATTACCATTATTTCTAATAGTTCCTTCCTCTTAATGACTCTTGTGGTTGTCCAATTGCATTTACGGCATTGCGTAGTGTATATGAAATTGAATGCGAAAGATTGTTTCAGAACAGTTCTTAATGGTAATTTCGAGTCCTGATTATTTCAAATGGCTTTAAATAGTAATTCATCTAATATTAGAATGAAAACACAAACCGCGACATTGTTTGGGCACCTTAACATTCTCCCATCTTCCGCGTTCTGATTTTGTAACAAATTATTTCACTGATAGTTGTCAAGGAGACCCTTACTATCTAAAGATTTAGCTTAAGTAGCGTTTTCTACTAACTAAAGAACATAGTACCTTTGAGTTACGAACTCGTTCGACACCATCATCGACACTGCTGGCCAAAGCATGCTGATGTCGTCTCATCCAAGAGCCAAGTTGGGCAAACGGTTCAAGTTTGGTGTTGAAAAAGAAATCCCTCGTAGAGCCCGACTTCAACGACCCATATTCCATGTCGGAATTAAGAAGATCCGTCCATCCATTTATTGGCGGAACACGAAGAGAGACGGTAAGAAATGCAGCAAGATTAGCTGTGTAAAATGCAATGAGGATGAGTGTCACAAACCACCAAATAGCAACCAGAAGTCGTGTTCCAGGAGCACGAGGAGCAAAATCAACGCCCTTGAAAAATGAAACTTCGATTACCAATGTTTGATTTCGAGACGTCCTAGTTTAAACTGAGCTAAACTTACCTGCTGTACAAATGCTGCAAAGGAAATCCATACTGAATTTCCAAGAGAAAATCTGCGATTAAAGTATCTTTCCTTGGTGATGGGATCGGTTTTGATCTGCCATTCGGTTGGACTGATCCTAGCAATCACATATAGCCCCAGACTAACAGTAATCCAAGCTCCAAAGATCGCGAACCAGACGGCGTTGGAGAGGGGTCTGAGGAATGATAAGCTTCCCGATTTCTGTTTTCCGGGCTTCTTTATAATAAGAGACAAACCAAAAGCAAGAAAAGGTTCCGAAAATTCGACAACCTGAGCTCGGGTGTAACTGACAGTAAGTGGAGCCATCACAAGATCAGCAGTGTTGTTTAAGATTTCCCCAATCAACCCATTCCAAACTTGTAGTCTACGGGTTTCGATCCGCCTTTCAATTTGATTACTCAGTGGACGTCGTGAAAGAACGACAACCTTTTGTGGTGGCAATTCACCTATCTTTGAACCAAAGATCCCATCATAGACTATGTGTATTTCATACTTGAAGCCTACTATTTTGCTAATTTCTTCCAGCAAATCAACACAGAATCCCTCGAATCGATCTAGTCCACGCGGTTCTGGAGCGTCAAGTTTGCGAGGCTTTGGCTGGACAAATGGTTTCGACCATATAGTAACAACTCGAATTGTTCGATTTCGGTAATCCGCTAATCTTTGACGATCAATTATTACATTTGGATTAAAATCTTCTGCCCAAATCTGTGGAAGACCATCTTCATTCGGCAAATCATCACCAGCACCTGAGGAATTCTGACCTGGATCTGTCAAGGGGGGTTTGAAAGCTTCAAAGTTAAGACCACTGGCTGATGACCACTAAAAGATGAAGGTAAAAGAAGCAAGTATGCATTTAATTGGGTTAAAATGATCAAGAGTGAAATACCCTTGCAACGGGTTGTAGACCAACGTTTTCCTCCGCCGACCACAAAACTAAATCTCCAACAACCCTCTCCTCGTTGATCGCCGGTGCCTTTAGATCACCTGTCAGACCCTTTAAACCCATGCCGCCGCAACCGTCTCGATCATTTTGAATAATGAAGCGCTTTCTCAGTTCAGCAATAGTCCCATGACTACGAACTTGGTATGCGCCATGTTGGTACATCAATCTTCCATCCAAATAACAACTTGATATTCGGAATTGGTAGGACCCAGAAGCCATGTTTTCGGTGGAAGTGGGTTGACGCATTTGATGTGCGACGGATGCGAGTTCAGCAAAGGAAATATTGGCTCTTTGGGAGTCCATTTGCTGAAGACGACAACGTAAGGTTGAGACGAATAGGGTGATGGCATCAGCCATCAATGCTGCGTGGTAGAATGGAGGTGAGAGTGGCTGCGGAGAACTCTGGCTGTTCCAATTACTCCAGTCTGTAAGAAACCTCTTCACATCTGACCGCTGTAATGAAATAGGGCTAATTAAATGACGTGGCTAAAAAGGCATTGCGTCCGAAGATTCATTCTGACTACATTCACACCACTTCAACAGGAGCGAGTGTAATTAATCAAATTATAATCTTATCATAAAGGCATGAAAACATACGGCTTTATTTCGAATGTCATTAGTTTTGCAGCGATATACAATCAATTATTTCCAGAGAATCTCAACCTACGCAATAACCAATCTGGAAGGAGAAAGTTCGTGAAGAGATCGGCTCACCCAGTCTTTCAAACGCTACATCAACACGATATTTAATGGGAGAATGCGGTGCTTAAGTACTTATATCAATCGAAAACACTTCGAAAATAATGGATTACAACTATCAATTTGGTATCAAATCAATGTCAATAAAAGAAAGGCACATATCATGGGAGAAGGTCTCAAAAGCCTACAGAATAATGAGTAAGCATTTAGCAAATGAATTTAAAATTAAGTATTAGGATTCGCTCATAATAAGTTCGGTTAAATAATTATACTACCAATGTTTCCAAGTAATTAGTTTATTCACCCAATTTCGGCAATTCATTTCAATTTTTCGTGATTTTGTTTGTTCATCTGAGTTAAAGGGAAAATTTCTTAGATGCATTGTTCTTGGCTAGGCAGGTTGATTTTGATGTAGTTAATTAATGTTTATCACGCAACTTAGCCGGTCTGTACGTGTGCTCTTTGTCACCAACAGACCAACCAAAACGACGTGGGAAGGGAAAGGAGGTAGATAGTGGTCATTGGGACAAAATGATCGGTTCGTCTCACTACTGTGCCACAAATGTATCTCGAATCAACTTTTGACTTCTATACTTACTTGGCTTTTGTAAAAGTTCATTTTGCAGTGCCTTGTCTATATGGCAGTCTTTACTGAGTATGGTAGACATAATAGGCGGCCCTTCAGTCAAATTGACTTGAATATCACTGATTTACCGTTATCATCAACAATATAATATGATGCCACCTTAATAAGAAGTGCTTTGTTTGGCCTAAAGACCCGTCTAGTAAGGGCTTAATTACTTCCTCTCGTCGAGAAACACCCATTTTGGAAGAATAATGTGGATCTGCTTATTTTCACGAAATATCAATTAACAACCAATTAAAATTCGGGCAGATCATTACGCATATGGAGATGTCACTGCGTTATCCGATAAATGGGTTGCAAATACGTAGATGAGCAAAATATGCGCTATTTCTATTCAACGCTGATAGGTTCTAAACGAGAGCATAGCAAAAAAGGAGGACTGACCGCTGACATTCGAAAGTGCGATGATATAGATGATGGCGGAGTAACACGATAACGCGAGGGAAATTTTAGCAAGATTCAAAAAATTAGCTTTCTAATGTGGTTATCCTAGACCTTAGAAGAAGTACATCTGAGTGCTCATTTCTCCTTTCTAATATTCCAAATTCTCCGTTATTTAAAGTGAGCCAGCTTTCTCATTAAATTTTTAAAATTCCATAATTACTAAATTGGGAGTTTTAATATTAGGCATTTAACATTCTGTGTTTCAGAAAGAGGGTTAGAAACGACCATAACATAAAAAATCCATTTTAAAATCTCATTATACATCGCACAAGTACCAGTATGAATAAATTTAAGCCAGTTGTTGTCTTTCGCACCAAAATCATGAATTAGGAAGTATTTAGGCTTGGAATTGCCTGGATTGGACATAATAGGAAGTCGGGTCTTCTGTTTTATTTTATGCAGCCTGCTAATCAGCGAATTTGGTGTTAATCGGCAAGATCTCTACGCTCTCATACTCTAAAAGCGACTCTAAAGTCGTCAGACAAGAGGTCTTTCCACCCCTTCCAACTTACCAAATACCTTAGTTTATTCACTAACCTTCCAACTGAATTCTTCATTGCCTACTTACCAAACCAACTGTCTTAATCAACTCCTTATTGCCTTAGTAACTTCGGCATAATTATACCCAATGTTGGTCTCCCCCACACAGCTACACCTCGTTCTCCAACTCTTCGTTTCAGCCTCTACCAACAGTAACTTCAGTACCTTCATCTTGTGTGGTCCCTCTCATGTTCTCTTGCATTTTGATAATGAATAAATCCTCAATAAACCATCAATCATATTCCCCATTTAATAATTCTACGCCGGGGTGTGCGATAGACTTACCTCCACTGGATGCACTTTGGGCAGTACCTACTTATACGACAAAAAAGTCTATATACCGCCAGTTGAATTCTGACTTCAAACCACCATGACCCGAATCTATGTCATAATCGACCGCTTCCAATTCCCTTTCCCATGCCTTGGATGCCAATTCCCCTTACAACTGCGAATTCCTCTTCTGTCCTTCCTCCCAATTTTTATGACTTTATTGTTCCTTTCCTCTGTGACGTTTGAAGTCAACTAAAGGGCAAATGATAACTATCATAAAGCTTGCCAGTTGGTATAAATTAATAATTCTACGCCATGCATTTATCGTAAAACTTGTCCCTAAAAAGCGTTCAATTTGATCAAACATATAGGTTATTCGAGTGTTCACATATAAGTACGAGGGGATAGAAGGTTCTAATTTGACCCACTCTGTTCTCTGTAGTCCATACACAGAACGCATTTCATACATATGGCCAAAGAAAAATTATTTAATTAATTGAGGTAACCTCATGGCCAACGCCATTTTCTCCAACCATACAATTAGCTTCACTTAATCTGACTTTTTGTACTGGTGAGCAAAATTAGCTTCCATTCCTCTAAGTGTGATACGAATGGAGAAAGTGAAGAATACTACAATTACCTCAGGGTCGAGGAGTCGAAATCCAGCCAACTTGACACCAGAGAAGATGTAGTCTTCAAGGTTTGTGTCAGCAACATTCAAACCCGCGTAAAGAAATGTGTATTCCTTTCTATTCATTCCCATTCTAGAAAGCATTTTCATTAGCTCCTTTGTCTCGGTTATTTTTGCATCCACGATAATCCTTCTCTCAGTTCGCTTCTTTAGACTTCCATCAAGACTGTTCAGCGCATCTTGAAGGCTCGATTCGTTAATGCCATGAACACGAACGAGGTGAATTGGCATTTCCTCTAGACTATGATTGCTCCATTGTGCTTGTAGTTCCTCCAGTAACTGCTTTGACCTGTCAATACCTTCCAAACTTGTCGTGAGGTACGAGAACGAAGTCCAGTTCTCATAGACCAAAATTTCAGCAAGAGCTTCAATAGTAGAAGGCATTAAATTTCTTGTGAACAGACCATTTTTTCCGTTTGCAATTGTTATAAGTGGAACTTGTAGGGCAGAGGCAGTGTCTGCGAGTACGTGGTTCACCTCTGAATTGAAAGCGAGTTCACTGGTAAATACGGCTAAGACAGGATCACTAGTGAGGTCACAGAAGCGATTCATAACACTGAGAGCATCATAGGGTGGTGATAAAATGCTGACTTTTGGAAGAAGTCGAAATTTATTACGAGAATCTTTATTGTATGCGAAAACAGCGAAAGAGAAGGCATTTTCCCCTATTGATCCAGCCTCAAAAATACCACCGATTGGAATCTCCTGAACTACGTTACACAGCGAGAATGAAATTAGCAAAGTGGTGTGAAATAAGTTTGGGATTCGCATCATTGTGAGGAGCAAAAACGGGTAAAACTCAGCTGGTGGTTTAGTAGACACTGGAATATTCGAGCTTTCAAGTGCTGATTGGTTGACGTAAAGACGAGTAGCGATATCTTGATTCTAATTGGTTGCTTAGTTTTGCTGAAATTGAGTTAAAGAGCAAAGAGTTAAAATTTTGGGATTTCGATCTAGCATGAACTTACTGCTGTTATCATCCAAAGAAGACTAAATTTTCGTCGAAGGGCTTATTTTGTATTTTGAAAAAATATTTTCCGCAAATTTGCAACAACTATTTATTGCCATTTTATTGATGACAATCTATAAATATTGCTTTCATAACCAATATGCTGCTTCGAAATAAGACCATTCCATTTTATTCCAATAAATTGGAACATATTGAACTTAATCTACGATGGACACAGTTGTTTTGAGACTCACTCATTCAAGTCCACGTGAGTTAATCAATTTTTACTTCATAGGCCAAATACATTTTTAAAAAATTATATCAAGAGCAAGAGAGATCGATTTAACTTGAATGAAGAAATGAATTGACAGTACTATCAGGATTCATGAATGAAAATCCTGATCTAGTTGACGGTCAAATCTCTCTCAGGTAACCGGAAAAATTAATTCTGCATGTAAACGTGTACACTTAAATTTAGGGGCTCTACTTCCAAAATGTCTTGTGGCAGTAAGTGAGGAGGAGCAAGTGAGGTATTAGAGAAAGCTCAGAAATACAACAAGTCAATTCTGCATCCAAAATAGAAGTCGCCAGAAGTTGCCTTCTTTGTTACTCAAAAATCATGCTTCACCTCTCAAAGAAGTGCGTTTTAGGAACATATCTTCAAATTTGCGTGTTGGATAATCCCCTTTCAAACAATTAAGCCAAAATACTGTGAATTTGAATGAATCAATCAATATGAGAATCTTGTATTCAGAAAATGCTTGAATATTTTTGCATTCAATTAGAGATGGAATAGCTTTCTAGATAGGACCATATTTTTGTGTTTCAAAAGAATGAAGGGAGTGAAAAATGTTTATAATTATTTGAATTTTGGCTGTATGAGTGTTTAATTTAGGCTCTCGGAAACCTGTTTATGGAAAGTACCTAAAGGGTATAAATTCGAATTGCACTAATTTTTGATCAGACGCAACAGATCTTTGAATCCATTTAACAAATTCTTGGAATACGTGAATCCTAAAATCAAATGTAATCGCGAATGAAATGAAGACCCTTTGTCAGATTTTGAAGTTCGGACACTGGAGTATCGGCGTTTCAATTTCAAATTTTGTAGTTTTGCCTGACACTTGATATAGGCCTGTTAGAATTAAAACATATTCAAACAGGTACTCTGTGACTGTGGCACTCAGAGGAGGTAGAGTTCCTCTGTCCCCATTCCCCATAAAATGCACTTCCTACTTCTTCGCGTTGAGATGCTTCGTCATTATTAAAGTGCGAAGTTCTGTATATTAATAATGGGAAAATTTTTTCTCCAAAGTGAGTTCAGTTCACACCAAATAAATTGGCTGACGGGTTTTACGTGCTTATGTAAGGCTAAAAGAGGATGACAAAGTCGTAGCGGATTGCTACTTTATTAAAGCCTGACTGACTCAGAAATCTCTATGGCAGATCCTCCTGACTCAGAAATCTCTTTGGCAGATTCTCCTACATCTAGACCGACTCAGAAATCTCCATGGCAGATTCTCAAACATCTAGCTACCGGCTCAGAAATTTCTATGGCAGATTCTCCAACATCTAGCTAGGAATCAGAAATCTCTATGGCAGATTCTCCAACCTCTAGCTAGAGAACCACGGCAGATTCTCCAACGTCTAGCTAGACTCCCAGAACCAGGGAGATTCTCCTACATCTAGCTAGACTCCCAGAACCAGCTAAACCATAGCCCAGCTATAAAGGAAACAGACGAGTAGCACGGAGAATTCTCCAACATCTAGCTAGACTCCCAGAACAAGCTAAGCTATAGTCCAGCTACAGAGGATACAGACGTGTAGCACGGAACATTTATTCAGTAGCGGAAAACAGACGTGTAGCAAGGAATACGTTTATTCGATACGGGAAAACAGACGTGTAGCACGGAGCACGCTTATTCAGTACGGATTCAGACGTGTAGCACGGAGCACGTTTTTTCAGTACGGGTATCAGACGTGTAGCACGGAGCACGTCTATTCAGTGAGCATATTACGAACCAGCTAAGCTATAGCCCAGCTATAAAGGAAACAGACCGAAACTAGCTAAGCTATAGCCCAGCTATAAAGGAAACAGACGATAATTCGGAACACGTATATTCAGTCACGTAATGATCAGAAAAGTGTGCACGGAGCACGTTTATTCAGGACGTATCTTGCGGATCAAGTCACGTTTATTCAGGACGTATATTGCGGATCAAGTGTACCCGCTTATTCAGGACGTATATTGCGGATCAAGTGTGTACACACAGAGTATATTGTGGATAAAGTGCACACGCAGGCCATTCAGTGGGTATATGACGGATAGAGTGTACACGCAGGGAGCTACTCATGATCAGGATGGGGGATTAGGTTAAACAGAGGTTAATGATTGGTCATTGTTTGCACGGTCGCTGCACACAGAGTTGTACGGCCGCACCTCCCAATCCTGGCGAGCAGACATGCGGGCATACGATGACGCACAGAGCGATAACGTGTCCCACAAAGTTCACCCCCCCCCCCCC